GTGTGTGTGTGTGTGTGTGTGTGTGTGTGTGTGTGTGCGTGCGTGCGTGTGTAATGTGTACATTTAGCTTTAGTGGTTTGTGCAGAACAACATATGCCCATACAAAAACATGGGTTTCTGTGCTAGCGTATGGGTGGATACAAACAAACCTTTATCTGAAAATAATCTTTTAGGGCAGCAGGCATAAGACAAACATTAAAAAAAAGATTTTATATTTAGATTTTATAGATAAACATTTTTTATTCTTTTATTTGTTTTTTAATTCATTCAGTTATTTCTCTTTTTGTAATCTTTATGTAAAATAAAACAAATCTGACCACAACAAATTCAATATTTAAGCATAGCTATTTTCAATGGGTTATATATTTTACAGAGTAAGAAGTGGATAAGTGTGAAATAGAAGGAATCTATACCTTGGTTTTAATTTGATTTAAGGAGTTAGTATATGACAGTATATTTACCTAAACAAAATCCAGTACAGCTGTTCTATGAGGACATCAGAAGTTTGTTAAAGAATCACATAGACTAACAGATATACAAAAAATCTCTTATAGAGCTTTTGAATCAACAAATGAAAGTTAAATAGAATGTATTACAATAGCAAACCTAAACAGGACCAATATCTTGGCTGTTTGAATGGGTTAGAAAACCAGAGGAGCAGCCAAGAGGGTTACATTAACTGGTGGAACTGCTGGATTTAATAAAAGAGTGGTAAGAATAAAACCACTGCTTAACAAAAACCATGAAAAGTCATGTTTGCAGTTTTTCACAACCCATTAAGGAAACAATCTTGTTAAAATGTAAATAGGAACTATGGGTAGATGAGACCAAACTTGAAATGTTGCATCATAAATCTGTGAATGCACATTTTCTCAAACACACCATCCCTTATATGAAAAAAGGGTAATAATAGCACTATACCAGAAGTATGCTTTGCTTTAGCTGGGATGGGAAAAGCTGGTGAGGGTTGGTCAGGAGGATAAATAGTGCCAAACAGGCCATCCATGGGAAATCAAACAGGAAACAGGTTGTAAAAGACTTCCACCTGGACAACAGCTAAAAAACTTCAAGCCAGGAGTACAATCAAATGATTTAGATGTGACAAGCTTTGAAAACTTGGACTGTCTGAATTTGGAAAATTTTGCAATGTTTATCTTCACTTATTTGCACCACATGAAATCCTATCTAAATGCATTAAGGTTTGTGTTTGTAACATGGAAATCCATGTTAAAATTTAAAATCTTTTGAAAGGAATTAGAAGTTTAATGCAACAAAATACATAAAACAGGGGTAGTAAAAGAAAAAAAATCATTTTAAAAGCATGTAAAACAAAATAAACAATCAGCAAATAACACTCAATATTCACATAAATAAAAATGGTAGAGTGGCATGAAGACAGAAGCTGCAACCTTTGAACAAATCTTTGGGTGAACTAATTTCAATTATCTCAATTAAACATTAGAGGTTGATAAATTCTCTACCACTGGGTGGACAGTTATGTTTCACTTGTAGCATCCCTGAGAGTCTGACAGCGGTCTAGACATGTTGTGGAAGGCCCACTGCAACAGGCCATCAATGGAGCTCTGCTGGGATTCAAAGAGCGAAAGAAGAAAAGATGAAGTGTTACAATCAGACATCCAGATCTAAAGGCATTTAATATTATCTGCGTTCATCAAGATTAATCAAACTTAAAGACAGATGTGGCGACTTGATTTAATCTACTGTTAAAGCTCAGACCATATCTTTCAACCACATCCGATATGTTAATATAGTTTTGCTCTACGAATATACATGGGAAAACAAATATAAGGTAGCCATTTCACTACCGCATTCATTAAAAATAGCGTAACACATCAAGCAATGTAGCAGACATATTTTAATCACTATTTGCCAACATCAAGTAAAAAAACAATATTAAAGAAAGCGCAAATATAATTAAATATTTCTAGTCAAATAGCTAATCCAGCACTAAAGCAAAACATAAATCACTATTAAATTAAAATATACTTAAAGCATGGCAGAAATAATGCAGAAACAGATAAGACGTTTGGTTCTCCTGTTCAGATGCGGTTTCCTATGTTAAACATGTTCATTGGTATATTATGGGGAGTGTTGGCCTAGTGGTCTGAGAAGGTTGCAAATACCCGGTACGATCCCCGCAGCCTGCACTCTGGCTCCATGAGGAAGACCGTTAACCTCACACTGCTACCTGGGCGCCACACAATGACAGCCCACTGCTCCCCAAGGGAATGGGTTAAATGCAGAGACTTAATTTTATTGCTTTGTACTTGTGACCATGTAATGACAATAAAATTTAACTCTATATTCCATTATAAATCTTTAATTAGCATTATTTCTTCTTTACTCTCTGAGAAGAGGAGAAGCAACTATTTTGTTTCTACATTTAAATCACATTTGGTACGTGACAGCGCCTCACTCACATCTCCTAGGATCGAGTCTAGTTCATCCTTATTGATGACCGGTTCAGTGAACGAAGCGTTCTGTTCTTGACTGAATGAGGTCTGGGCTGTTGGTGCAAGCTAGACAGAAACCAGAAAGAATACATAAATCACAATGCATCTTATATAGGCTTTTCTTTCCTTTTGTCTCTTTTGTAAATGTCTGTAGACACACCTGCATGCCTCTGGGCTCTGTGTCTTTCTCTGAAGAGCTGCCCCACGGTCTGGAACAGGACCAGCAGACGGATCTCCCTCTTTGAAGTACAAAAGCATCGTGGGTGAGTCAGACTGCTCCGTTCTGAAGTGTGTCAGGTTTCTCTCAATCAATATGTAATGTGAACATTGAAAGACAGGTAGCTTTAAACCCTTTCATCTGGCATGTTACACTTAGCTGCACATAAAACATTAGCTCCAAATTCATTACAGGTTGTAGTAAGCTCATATGGTTTGGTTGGTTTTAAAGCCACAACCAGTATGAGGCAGATTGAGCAACGAAAACCCTAGAGATCTACCTTGCTTTTAACATGAACAACTTTAGCATCATTTTCTAAAAGTATTGACCCAGAGTTACATCTGCAAAGATCCATTTGCAATCCATTAGCCCGCATTTGAGAATTGACTCTCCTGACACACTCTTAATGTAATGCTATGGTTGATCAATACCGGCCTGAAAGGGGGGGAGCTCCAAGAAATTTACTCTGCATGGTGCAAATCAATGGTTCTGAAAAATTAGGGACATGATCCCATTGCGGGATATGAATCACCCCAATAAGGGTTATTGACACAAAACTGAAAATCCGAATAACAATGAGTGATTATTACTATGAGCATATTTTGTTGGAAGAGATAAAACAGTTGTCATTAAAACCTCTGAATAATTTCCCCTTTTATTGCAGTGGTTAAATCTCTCATTGAGAATGTATGTTAGCCCATATATTTGTTTGATTACATTTATTTGTGTGTTGGTTTGTTTTTAAATTAAATCTATGCTCCTACACAGACTGGCTGACTAAAAGGGTCCCAAAGAAGCATTTTAAAAGTGTATTCCTTACTTTTAAGCTTTAAATTAATTATCCATGTCCTTTTTGTTTTGCTTTTTTAATCAAAAAAAATCTCCTCATTCTTGGGAATGGGGAGAGGAGAAAGTACCCCATAAGTTTAATTCATTCCTGTCTTGTTTTGTTGGATTGTAAGAAATGTTTCCATAATTTTATAAACTATTTTTGTAAGATATTTTCCCTACTTTTGTTTGGGTCAGAAGGAGAGGGTTATATTATTGGATGATGTATTCTATAAGGTTTAAGGAGGTGGTTGTAACATATAGTGCCTTTCACTAGTACTTATACTAATGCAAAGCACTCTATCTGATGTTATCACATGAGATAAGCACATCTGCAGCATAATGCTGCCACTAGGGTTTTACTTTGGGTATATTTGGTTTGTCCAATGTGCAGTGCATGTTTTGCAAAGCAATCAGTGCTTTGTGTGAATTGCAAACATTTCTATTTTCATCACTTCTGAGAACCTTTATCTGTGTGGTTGCTGTGTTGTTTACATAGCTTGTGGCAAACTGCACATGGCGAGCTCTTGTGGCCCTCACTTAACAACAACTTCTCTCACTAAATGTCCATAAGGATCAGGTTTAGTTTAAACACAAAATGAGGAGATGTTTGATAGATGGGAACATCTTTGCAAGGCATTGTACATCATATTCCTAGGATTTGTTTTTCATATAAAATATTCATCATCTCACTAAGAAAGAAGAAATGTGTGGCTGCCTTACTTGGAGAAGTGGCAGTGTGAATGGAAATGCTTTCGACACTGAAGGCAATGAGTCAGGTCTCCTCCAGCGAGGTAGCAAACACCACACACCTCCCTCACAGCAACCAGATCACCACCTGAGCACTGGGTACACAGAGTAAAATGTAATTCAGGGTAAAAATAAAAAAGACAAAAAAGATGAGGGGCTGATAGAAATATAAAAATAAAGTTCCTTACCTGTTTTTTGCCATTCGACACCTTGATTGAGGGAGTGACACTTGTGAGGGAGGATGATAATGAGATGAATGGGTTGTCTAAGTTGGAGTTATTAAGGTTTATGCTTGTTTGCTGAGGCTGGGAGGGGAGAACCTGAGCAAAAAAACAAAAAACAAAACAGATTATCTCCTTTAAATAAAGCCTAGGTTAAAGAGGATAGCTATAGTCAGGAACATAATTGGGATTTTGTTATAATTTCAATATAATGTTTGCAGATAAATAAAAACATTTCCTTATTTTTATGTCTGAATGAATATATATTTTTAGATGAGTACAGTAGCTATTTTAGAATGACATGCTTCAGATACACACCTCTACAGGCTGTACAGAAGTTTCTTTTTTAACTCTAAGCCCATAGCACCCCTCACACTTCCAAGAGCCACTGTAAATTACAACATATTTTTATTAACAAAAAATGCCCATTATCTGAAAACTGTTCACAATTACCTCTTTGATTGTGTACCTGGGTATTGAAGTGAGTGGAGGGTTGAGGCAGGTCAAATGAAAGGCCCGAGGACACCAATCACAGCAAATCAACTCCCCACCATCCTTACACACCGCACACTCATCATCATTAGAGTGTATCTAAACACATCGACACACACACACATACAGCTCAGACCAGGTGAGAAATACAGCAGCAGTGTTCCTCTAAACACTGGTAGAGGATTGGATTACCATGATTGTGTTTGTTTCCCCCTGGTGGATAAACTTGGCACTGGCAGATTTGGACCTTTCTTCATTAGACTTCTCTTTAAAGCACTCTCTGGTCTGCCCTGTTTACAGAAAATATAGTTTATCATTAAAATCTATTATCAAGAATTAAATCAGTAAAACAGTATATTTTGCATCGATCTTGTTTAACAAAAAAATCATGGGACCAGATGGATATTTGGCAACTTAAAAAGTGACAAAGTCAGTGTTTCAGTGGCTTACCATCCACTGCAGTATATTCCTGTTTGATTTGCATGCTTTCTTTTTTATCCTGGCTTAATGGCTGATCTGACGAGGAGGAAGATGAAAAAGAGGAACGGGCTACCCCTTCCTGAACAGAAGGAGATACCACCTGCAGACCTATGGCAGAATTTTGATAAGTATCTGACATGAAACAAGAGCAAATGCAGGTTGATTTAAATTAGAAATGTACTATATTACTATTTCCAGTTGGCAGCTGCATGGCTTGAGCTTCACTCTTCACTCTGTATAGCCTGACTTTATTCACTGGTAAAAAAAAAAAAAAAAAAAAAGGGGGAAAAGAGAAGTTAAGTTTCCTAAATGTCAACACGCTTAATAAAAGGATTGTCATCATTTTTGCATAGGTTTGTTTATTTAAAGGTATAGTGGAGGATGTTTTTCTTTTCCTGTTGGATCATCAAAGTAAGTGGTCCTCGTAATTGTCAATCATTGTGGTGATATGTTTACGCTAGGCCGTCCTACGTGCTCGTCCCCATTTTCACTTAACGGTGGCGTGTCTTACATAGTCCAAAAATTGCAAATCTTCTTTTAAAAAGTAAGCTTTTATGAGCGATACAAACAGCAACTTTTAAACAGAACGTGCACGAGGTGAAATGGACTAATGCATGCTCTCGCACTCGTTTAATATGCGCTCCCTCTTGGGAGTGGGTACAGGGCTGTGCATGTACATTTGTTTAAGTCGAAGGTCTTTTCAACAATTCACTAAAATCCTCCACTCTACCTTTAAGTCTGGTATGTGGCAACTGCTTGGATGCCGTGAAGTAAAACTGCACAGAACACAGAACTAGATGACCTGTGCCATCACTTGTTTTGGCATGGTACTCTGAGTGCTGGGACGCTGTCCCCCCTTCCTTACGGCTCCTCTTCTTGCTGTGAGAAGCTTTGCCTCCTCCAGAGGACCTGTTTTCGGTTTTGGTCCTTGGACCTTCCTGTCCTAGAGGGGGTTAGTAGTAACATACATAAAGAAATTGGAGTCAGTTTAAGTCAAACAACCCTTCTGTAAGAAAGAGGTACTTTAAAGAATTATGGAATTGACATACTGGTATTCAAGTTAGTCAGAAGGGTCTTCAGTTTTGGGTAGCTGTCCATATTGTAGTCCTTGGATAAGTTGCTCCAGAAAGACTGAAGTGTTTGTCTGCTTTGCTCCAAAAGCCATGACAGGAGAGAATACATGGCTTTGTGAATCCCCTCACTACCTTCCTTCTTAAGAGTATCCTAAAGAAAGGAAAATGCGTTAGCATTTGGGTATGAAATTGGAAATCAATTTGTGTGATCAATAAAATGCCCTCTGAAAATCTAAATCAACTAGACGTGTAGAACAATCAATAGAAATGCGGCTTTAAAAACATCTAAATTAAAGAATGTAACTTCTAAAGTAAAAGTTCTGGCATCTATTTCTGCTCCTTACCTGCAGCTGTTGTTCAGTGATGATGTTTTTGTCTGCTAAGCCGTAAACGATTGGGAAAGGGTCATCCACAGCCATTGCTATGTCAGTACGCAGCTCGCGGAGCAGAGCGTGAAGGGTGTCGTCCCTGAAGACCTCCACTCTGGACATGATCCGATTTAAGTGTAAACAAGAACTCAAGTGAGGAGTGGACCAGGCCTGAGACCGTACATCTAGCACCCTGGGCCCAGGAGGTGTGTCCTTCTCATGTAAGGTAATTCTCAAAATGAGCACTCTTTAAGAAGACCAAGATAAATTGTGCATCTTATACTATTTCCCCTGTTTCTGTAAATGCATAACCATTTGCATGTCACTGTTTAAGTACAACCGAGGACCCTATGAGACCAAGAGACAGACCTTAGAGAGTCAGAAGAAGAGTTCTTTAGATTTCTGTGGAGTTTTTATCCACTAACGACACTAACTGACTTTAACCAGGGGAATACCTGTCCTCCTCCGTCTGCAGAGCGTGGTCAGGTGACATGCTCTGTCGCAATCAGAGTTTTCCTCTAAAAGGTTCTTTCCATTTCAACTTCCCCTCAACTATCAGGTTTTCAGACTCTGACTCACTGCAGAGATCTCAGCATTAGTGTGATAATTATCACTTTGAACCAAACTTAAAAAAAATATATATTGACGGCTCCATTTGGCTGAAATGGCCTCATTACAGCTGCTTTTGATCATTTAGGGCTATGGAAAAAAAATGTGCTCTAACAAGAGAAAAATAAAAATTTAAGTATTTGTTATGTTTGGTAGTAAAATGTGTCTGTTTAACATGTGTTTTTCATCTACACAGCACCAAATATAAATGGCCGCAGGAGATTAAGGGGTGCACTTTTTTAGTAAGAAAGGTCTGAGTTATTATCTAATTGTTCACTACTTTCAGTTAAATAACCAGTTAAATTCTAGATTTATTCCATAATAAGAATAATTTGTATGTTTTTCTAACATTGAAATTAGATTATTATCATTTAAATGGGATGAAAATTGACCATGAATATTTTAGGTTATATTCTATAAAAACATTCTGAATGTGCAGTAGGGAGTTAAATTATCCGGAATATAAAACTTGAAGATAAACTATAATTGTTTTTTTGTTTTTTTCACTAAATACATTTTCTTATACATTAAGAGTGTATAAACCACTTAATGGTTAGACAAGGTCATAAATGTAAGAAATCCATTCATTTACAAAAAAAATTGAGGGTGTTAGTTCATTTGAACCAAACATAACTGTGAAAAATGAAAATGAAAGGGAAAAGATCATTATATGTTTTCTGAATATACAAAGACCAGAAGAAAACTTACCATAATGTTACTGTACACCGAGTTACAAGATTATTATCTTTTTTTACTACAAAGGATATGGTTTTACAATGTGATTGTAGTGATGCACTGGACTATTTTAGATGTAATAAGTTCTTATTTTTTTTATCCTATAAAGGCCCCAGCACTGAAAAAATTTGAATTTTTGGTGTTGTAAATATTATCTGTTTTCATCTAATTTCCTGAAGATCTTCAAATTGTCATGTAAGGGCCTTTTGACACCTTTTATTTGTAAAAAAAAAAAATAAAAAATTAAGTCCCTTTATTGTCTAACAATGGGGAAATTCACTCTCTGCATTTCGACCCATCCCCTTGGGGAGCGGTGGGCTGCCATTGTTTGGCGCCCGGGGAGCAATCAGAATGCAGGCTGTGGGGATTGCACTGGGTACTTGCAACCTTTTCAGAGCACAAGCACACTGCTCTAACTCACTAGGCAAAGACTCCACATGTATTATTCAAAAGACACATTTTCAATTCAATGTCAATTAAATCAATTTTACCAAATATTATTAACAAAACAATTTAAATAAGTTTCCAACTTGATAGATGCATGTAAAATGTGCGTGGATATTAGGAGCAAACTTGGTGCTTTTTTCCTTGCCTAACCAGTAGGTCAGAAATAGTGTGGCTGCACTATGCCACAAGAAGCAAGAAGGCTCGAGGTTTGATTCTTGACCTGAGGTCTTTCTTTATGAAGTTTGCATGTTCTACCCGTCTATGTGTGGGTTATCTCTAGGCACACCAGCTTCCTCCAGCAGTACAAAAAACATGACTGTTATGTTAATTGCAAAAAAAACGTACATCTTTTTTGATAAGAGGAATTTGGTAGTAAATTTTCCTTTTTTTTTTTTTTTTGTTAAATCAACTTCTTAGTAATTAAAATCAACTTAGATTTTATGGAGTGAAATTTACAAAGCATTTCTTTGTGCAAAAAGTTACCCAGCTTTTTCTAAGGAAATGGTAAACCACTTTTTTCAGTGCGAGTTGGTGATTGTTGACATTTTTTATAAACTGGAATTTATCAGGTGTCAGAAATGAGTTGAATTCAAGCAAATGTAATCAAATTTGAATAAAAGTGATTTACACCTAATCTAAGTTTAATCAGATTTGAATTGAGCTGAATCATCGTTGACATGAACTGAAAGGAATAGCATTGTTTATAAAGTATTCTCCATGCAGGGTCACAGGGGAGCTGGTCTGTAATATTCATTTGGTGGCAGGAGGGTTTCATTTTGGACAGGTTGTCACTTCTTCACAGGGCAGGTATACGCTTAAATTAATTAACTTAAACCATTATTAACTAGGGGCTATATGGTTATACCATCAGTAGCATCATGCATAGTACACATATTTTAAAGTATGCTTAGGTGTACTCTGGATACCCTAGCTTTCCCTTCTCCACAGCCTAAAAACAAGACACATATTGAATGGCTATTTCTATTCTTTTGAGTAATAACTGCCTATGTGTGTGGGTGTACATGTATGGTTGTTTTCTCAGTGTTACCCTGTGACACTCAAAAGACTTGAATGATCCATAGAGATAACCCACAAGGATATGCAGGTATAGATGGTGGATTTAATAACTGAATTAATATCAAAATGTATTTGAACTTAATTATGCTGAATATCATCTAAATAAATTTTCTGAAATTAATTCTACTGTAATGAATTTAATCTGACTCCAAGTAATGAAATTGAAATGAGCGCAACTGAATAGAACTTAGCTGAACCGAAATGAATCCAGCTGTAATAAATTGCACTGAACTGAGTTGAGCTATAATGGAGGAGGCTGAAACTAAAATGAGTTCAACTTGAAGATAATTGAATTGTAAAGTAAATGGTGGTGGGTTATGAAACAAAAAACAGAGCTAAAGTGAAGTAAAAACAAGATACAACATTCTGCTGCCAGGTGAATGTAGATGGTTAGGAAGGTGAAGCCCTTTAATCTGTAATTTATTAATCATTAAACATTATTACACTATTCATACAGATGAACAAAGACCACTTCTACAGAGGGACGTTCACAACATACATATTACATTATTATATACAGTGCAGTGCATTACAGTGGATTGTTATATGTGTATTACCGGGATGGAGGGATGGGGAGGCTGAAAGGAGAGAGAAAGAGGGAAGCAAGGAGGAAGAGCAGAGGATAATTTGGAGGGACAGGAGGTTGGGACAGTAAGCTGTCCTTGTTATTTGTACTTTATTTTTTTTATACCACAGAACCATTTGTTCTATAAAAGAGAGA